TTGTCTGAAACGTAAACTTTTTCCAGAATCCGTTTAATTCTGTTTATAAAAGAAAAGTGCAAAACATTCAGTTTATCTGTGGCATACCTATTAGCTGTCAGTATATCAGCGCCAGTTCATCCACCTGAAGCTGGTGCGTCATCTCGAGCGTCCAACCGGCGCTATGAAGGTAAGTGGGATCCAGGCAGTGATCGATAATTAACCGATTTTTTATCATTTAATTACTAATCAATCCAAAAATAACTTCTTTTCGGTAAAGAACTTAACCAAATAACACTTTAGATACGCGAAGATATATTTTCCAGTTTATAAAATTTGCAAAAAAGCTTTTCTTTATTGTTTGAGAGTATAAAATTTGTCGAAACCAATGAAAACTGCACGAAAGAAACTACCTCCAAACTCCAAGAAATAATGAGATCAATTGATTTTCACAGCCTGTCTGAAGGTCGCAGTCATGTTTCAGCCAAATCTTACATCCCGAAAGACCTGCAAACCTGCACACACGTGTGGCTGCGCATTGATCGAGTAAGGAAACCTCTTGAAGCTCCATACACATGCCCTCATCTGGTAGTGAAGAGTACAACCAAATACTTCGCAATTAAAACTGGCTCAGCTGAACAAACTGTACGTATCCATCGACAGACTCAAACCAGCATAATTACAACCATCTCAGAAAACAGAGCCAAATCAGCATTCGTCGCCAGATCCGCCACAAGACACCAAAGAAAAGTCAGCAAAGCACCCACAAGAACCCGCTGAGCAGCCCATTCCGGAGAGCAACCCGGCTGATCCTCCGCGGCGAACAACTCGCTCAGGCCGACGTGTAGGTTTTCGTCTTGCCGCTGATTTTTTGTACTACTGAGTATTATGTCTCCGACATCTGGCGGGGTACTACTGTATCGAACCTAGAAATTACGACTTTTTTAAATATATCCTTTTTCCTCTGACTTGGCAACACCGTTAGGAAGTTTACTTCGCGTTCTATTTGTTCCGTTCCGACTCAGTATAGCCCAGCCGATCCACAACAGCAAGTTAGTTAAGATTTAGGTCTCTAGGATAGGTTTCTTTGTTTATATGCGTAACTGGTTATATTGTACTATTATTTGCCTCATCATGGTTACTTATAAAATATAATTCTCGAACAGGTTCTCTCGTTGCCAAGGGTATTATTTCTATTATTACTATTATTACTGTTATCATTTCCGTATTCTTTGCCGTATCAAATAAATTCACTTGATCCAGTTCGATTCATTTCCGGCAGTTACCCCACAATGTTATGTTATGCAATACGAAAAGATTTAGTAGCGTACCACCTTCTGCTTCCTGAACTTGTTCGTATGACAGCTCTTTCATTAATTGTACAATAAAATTTTTTATAACGAAGCATAATTGTAAATATAACAGGTAGACGTCAGCTTCTGGTAAACTTGTTGGATAAAAGTACAACAGGAAGCCACTCGCCGCTACTCGCCACTAACCCCTGAAGCAAGCAGACCCACTGTGCACGAAAGACCTTAACCCTTTAACGACCACATTTTTTTAAAGCACATAAAAAAATTTTTTCTTATAATTTCTAGTAATTATAGTCACTCAGTAATGTATAGATGAGTATGCAAAATCGAAAATTGTATATTGGAAAAAATTGTAAGGCGACATTTCAGTCCACTTGGTCTTACGAGACCCCAACATTTAACGCGACCGTATGATCCATTTAGTCTTTTGAGCGCAAAATATGGACGATATTATATATCTGGCATAGTTAATTATCCTTTTATAAGTTACTTTTGCTAACAACAATAAGATGTCCGAGAAACTTGCTAGAAACTCCAGTATTTTATCAAAAATGCCTTATTCGAGATTAAATTTTTCAAAGAAATTTCGTATTTTTCCAACATCCTTGATGTTTGGAAAACATCAAGGATGTTGGGCCAAAGACGTCAGGGCCAAGGTTGTGAGCCCAATATCCTGGCGAAGAGGCCAGGGTCCAGGTTGAGAGGCCTGAGTTAAGGCTGAAAGGCCCGGGTCCATTTGAGAGGCTAGGGTAGAGGCTGAGAGACCAAAGTCCAGGTTGAGAGGCGAGGGTCGTGATTGAGCAACCAGGGTCCAGGTTGCGAGGCCAGGGTTAAGGCTGAGAGGCCTGAGTTCAGGTTAAGTGGCCAGGGTCCAGGATGACAGGCCGGGGTCCATTTTGAGAGGCTAGGATGGAGGCTAAGAGACTAAATCCAGGTTGAGAGGCGAGGGTCGAGATTGAGAGGTCAGGGTCCTGTCTGACAGGCCGGGTTTCATTTTGAAAGGCCAGGGTGGAGGCTAAGAGACCAAAGTCCAGGTTGAGAAGCAGGGGTCCAGGTAGAGAGGCCAGGGTCGAGATTAAGAGACCAGGGTCCAAGTTAATTAAGAGGCCAGGGTCCAAGTTAATTAAGAGGCCAGGGCCCAGGCTGACAGGCCGGGGTCCATTTTGAGAGGCTAGAGTCCATGAGAGACCAATGTCCAGGTTAAGAAGCAAAGGTCCAGGTTGAGAGGCCACGGTTGAGATTGAGAGGCCGGGGTCCAGGTTGAGAGGCCAGCCAGGATCGAGATTAGGAGGCCAAGTTCCAGGTTGAGAAGTCAGGTCCATGCAGGTTGAGAGGCCAGGGTGCAGACATGGAGGCCGGGGTCCAGGTTGAGAGGCCAGGGTCGAGATTGAGAGGTCAGAATCCAGGTTGATAGGCCATGTTTCCACCTTCCATTCTGGTAATTTCAATCATGATTGATTCATTTTCTCCTTCAAATTTTCCTTAAGAACTGGTTTCAGGCGTATTGGTGGAACCAATACCGTATTCAATATGTCCTCTTGATCCAGAGTCTTCCTTAGATTCACTAAAGAATTAAATAGCGAGATGCTGTTCACATAGACTGGGACGTTTTCTTGGAGAAGAAAAATTTTTCATGCTAAAACTCTTGAAGTATTCTGAAAGGCAAAAAATATTAGAAGGACACTTCAATAATTATATCAATTGGCCAGTGTATTGAGACGTAAAATATGTAAACTGAATTAGTGTTTCTCACTAGGAGTGAGAAAAATATTGTAGAAGGCACTAAATTATAGAATAGTAATAAAAACATAATTATTTTACATCTTAATTCCCTACTTGCATGGTCGTATAGGACCAACATGACTCAACGGTCACGTTTCAAACAATGCAGTTGTAAGTAAAACTGTACTGAAGGTTTGCCTTTAGAAACAATGTGATATATGCATGTAATTTTTATTTTATGTTCAAGTTTTGCATGTGCACTCACTGTTGTACTAGAAACAATGTAGAATTTTTTCAATGCTGTAACTTATCTAATTTTCCCACAAAAATTCAATAAAGATTGGGAAAATTCAACAAGTTAATGACACCACGGATTTCCAACAAGATCAGCGCTGCACTGCGTAGTTGGAGGCAAAGAGTAGAGTTGCACCACCGAAACGAAGCAGAGACGCTTACCGAACACGTCCAAAACAACTAGTGCCAATTCCTTATCATGGCAATAATATTACAGAGCATGTTTGAAAGGCACCGTATTGTACACCTGGTCGCTGAAGGGTTAAACCATGAATGAAAACGCACAATATGTCGTTCGGCAGAGAATGACTGCAAAAGTTCAAGATTTAAATATCATATAAGGGATTAGCTACTGCGTCTCGTTTTCTCTCGTTATAAAAATTCCGAGAAATTTTAAAGCTCCTATTTTATCTGAGACATCGCCTCTCGGTATTGTCCTGGAATTCTACGGAGTGCTTGAAATCGTACTGATTTGTAACTCTCTCCGAGACAGAGGCTGTGGTCTCGCCTCGTCTCGAATTGGAAAAGTGCCCAACGCAAGAGTCAGACGGAGTGTGTACGTTCAAACTCAAATTTGTTCTGGAGTGCGTTGAACAAGTGTGTGTATGCCGGAAATGCAGCGTTTTAGATATATAATTACCCTATCGAAATTCGAAGACCTGTCAGCCGCTGGCACACGGACGCCCCAAATTCTTATTGCAGTGTAAATTAGAAGCTCTATGCCCGCTTTAGGTTCCGGTTGCCGGAGCGAAGTAAGCGCCGAAATAGAATCTAATGAAATTCCTGTCGAGCTTGGAGCGATCGTGGGGCGCGCGTATTTCGAACCTGATACGTTCGGGACAGACACGGCCGAATCCGAAAAATGCGTTTAAAAAATGCCCCATCCCTTCCCCCCTTTATGGGGGGAAGGGAGGGGCATTTCAATTATTGTACGTTATATTTATGTGCAGTCTATATAGTACTACTCGCTTAGTTTTAAGATCAGAGCATAGTCTATCAAAGGCTCAATTTTATGCAAAGACGTTTACAGCTAGTAACTATTATGACATGGCGTGGTTAGAAATGAGGACAATAATCGCAAATAAAAAAATTAAATCGATACGTCAATAGCACTGATTCGAGGTAATGCAAGTAAAGCCAATTTCTCCTATTAAATCCATGTTACCTGCTGAATGAACAACGCTGTGTTTAAGATAATCGTTGAATTATTTGCCGTTTCATGTCATGTAACTTTCGTCGCATTAAATTTCTAACGAACAAACGATTCTGCAAGGGCCTCGAATGTCTGCGTCCATTGACGAAAGAAAGACCACACAATAGAATGGAGAAGCACATGTTAATCTTAACAAAATCACGGAGGTCACGGAGGTCACTTAGAACACTAAGTTCATCACGGAGGTCACTTAGAACACTAAGTTCATCACGGAGGTCACTTAGTGTGCCACTAGTTAAGTCAAGTTCATTTATTGTGTCAATAGGCACGTTGTGAAGGTCATTCATTGCGTCACAAGTTACCGACATTTTTAATATTCAGTTCGATAACATGGGATATCTTCACTGATATATACTTATGAGCACAACAATGCAAGCGTTCAATGGGCGCCTCGGAAAATGTCCTGCAGTGCTAGTCAACTGGCATCAGGTTAATCATGATTAAAGGTTAATTTTATGCTCCCAGTTGCAATAGCAAGAATGTTAGCAAACACCAGTGCTTATCAGGCGACGTCACTCACAGCTCTTGTTGCGCTGCAGGGCACGAGCAGCTGCTGCAGGCTGCTGCTGCTCCTGGCAGCCGCGGCAACCGCAGCTGCAGGAGAACAAACTTCTGCAGGCGCAGGTGAGTCTGAGTCTCCAGGTGCTTTTTTTGTGATTAATATGAATTAAATTAAAATAACTGGCATTACATTGCTCTGACCTTTGCTTTATCGACATAACTGGTTATCTCTCCGTAACAGCATTATTATTTTTGGTAATCCATACGCAACAGCACAAAATTCCCCTTGTAATCCCTTTCTCAACTCCTCTCTTTCAATACAATCTTATTAAAACTAAGCACTCAATCCGGGATGAGCTCATATGCAGCCCGCCTAATAACCTAAACGCTAATAACCGATAAAAACGCCCCAAAGTCTTCATCCTTCGAGATAAATCGATTTCACTGAGAAAATTAATTATAATAATAGCATCATTATTCTCACATTAATGAATCAGAACAATTACTTCATGACCACAAAAAATGAATACATCCATTAGAATTTCTGAATCAGGATCTGAAAATTCTTCACCGCATTACTTGTGATTGCAGGCGTGTGCCGCTCTGATCAGTTCAAGTGCGCCAACGGCCGCTGCATAGACGAGGCGTGGCGGTGCGACGGAGACAACGACTGTGGCGACGACAGCGACGAGCGCGACTGTGAGTTGCCTGATGAGTCGAACGCTTCCGCGCAATTCTCTTGTCCATTATTTCGAGTTAATATGAGGATCTGTTTCTGCTCTTAACATTCAATCAGTTTCTAGAATATAAATGAATTATTCCTCGACTGCATTCAATTATAACGTTTTACTGTCGAATTATATTCACCGTTTCGCAAGCACGCTATGACTAAAGTCGAGTTGTCGAAATTAACCTCTTCTGGGGCCTATATTTTCTTTCCACAGGAAGTTTTGGGCCCACTGAACCCATTGCATATTAATTGCATATTATTACATTGTTTTTCCACCACCCCTGATGCAATGTTATAAACAGAACGTACATCACATTCACATCCCATTTATATTCTTACTCGCCTTGCGTTCAGCAAACCCGATCACCCTGCATAAAATTAGCTCGTTATCTTAATTAGTTAGCCCGACATTCATGGCTTCTTTAAGGCCCTGATTGAAAACCGAGAGGCTTCGAACAGGCTCGGCTCTTCCCTAAGCGTTTCTTCACTAATTAGGATAGACTTTACTCCACTCGCAAATGAGATGGCGATATGGATTTTTCCATACTTACCCAGCTATTTATTTATAAGCGTCGACCAGTAATAAAAAATATGTAAACTTCGTATTAAAAGAGTTTTAATGAGAGGAAATTTCAAGAAACTTTGAATATTATTGTTCATCATGTCTGCGACTTTTACACTTTTTTCGAGATATAAACGGGTTGTAATTTTTATTGTCAATTGTATGGTATATTCGGCATTCCTTGATCAGCTTCCTTGTTATAGATATTTTCTACCAAAAAATATTTATGATCGAGTCTGCTGATACGCGGAGGGAAAATCCCGCATACTAGCTGCTCAAATGGGGACGTTGTGCAATGTTTGAGGGGAAAGAGACGTCGTAAATTACTCAACTGTCAGTTCACAACGGGTGGCATGGTAAAGGCGAAGTCAATGAGGGGCGAAGAATAATACGTGGCCAGTGGTCGGCCTATCCAATTAGTTATAGCCGACCGTTGGCCATTCCTTGGCCACCTGAAAGCGACCAGTTACCGCAAAGAAGGGTCTGGCTAGGATATCATATTACAAAGAGTACAAGCTCGAGGGTAGCGACTGGCCGAGCTTTGGGCAGATCAATGATTTTACACGATGGTCGCGAAAACCTCGCTCTCAGACTTCGCTGCATTTTGACTACAAGCCTTAATTTATCGCAGGCTGCACCGGAGACCACTTCGTGTGCGGCAACGGCACGTGCATCCACAAGCGTTGGGAATGCGACGGCTGGAACAACAACTGCGGAGACTGGAGAGATGAGAAGCATTGTGAGTACAAGGAAGATATAATGAGTCAGTAAGTGTGTGTGTCATCACATCACGAGTCGACGATGTTATTAAATTAATATGATGGCTAATTGTATGCAATGATCTTGCGTGCTGAGGTTCAAATAAAATTAGATATGCTCCGACTTTTTGTCCGTTCTCCTCATGGAGACAAATAATCCATAAATAATACTCATCAAGCGACCTGCGACTTGACGGTCAAGGCTACCTCCATGTGCTTATGTTTGACATTAAAAAATTACTTGCTTCTTTATGCGTTTTGTTGAATGCGCTGTAATGGGAAGGGAAGATACTCGAGAATTTTAGATCACTATGTTCCTAGCAATATAAAAAATATTGAAAAACGTGTGTCGTTACTGGAGACATTTTATACTGGAGATATAGGAAAATTTGTTTGGATAAGGTAATGAAGGTCGCTTATTGCGTCACTAGTTACTACGCAATCAATTATATCAATCAATTGTAGTCAATAAAATTGAGATAAATAAATTTTATTGAGAAAATTAATTAAAGCAATAACATCATTGAATACGCATTAATGAGGCAGACCAATTCCTTTGTGACCACCATTAAATGAATACCTACATTAGAAGTTTTTCAATTAGGATCTGAAAATTATTTACCTCATTACTTGTGATTGCAGGCGTGTGCCGCGCTGATCAGTTCAAGTGCGCCAACACCGGCCGCTGCATAGACGGGGCGTTGCGGTGCGATGGAGACAACAACTGTGGCGACGGCAGCGACGAGCGCGACTGTGAGCTGCCTGATGAGTCAAACGCTACCGCACAATTCTACTGTCTTTTATTTCGAGTTAATATGAGTATCTGCTTCTGCTCTTAATATACAATTATTTTCTTTGATATAACTGAAATATTCATCGACTGCATTCAATTATAACGCTTCACTATCGAATTACATTCAATGTTTCGCAAGCATGCCATGACTAAAGTCGAGTTGTCGAGTTTAACTTTTTATGGAGCCTATATTTTCCTTACACAGGAAGTTTTGGCCCCGTTGAACCACTGCATATTGAGACTTTTCCACCACCCCTGATGATTAAATAGGGGTTTTAAATAAGAAAATATGTTTAAGATAGTTTTGAGATTTTCACTATAAATATTAATATACTTTTATTATATCGGCAATCTCTTTAATTTCGTCAGGTTAGGTCCGCAGTGGCCATTTTTGGCACGTGAATAGGTTCTCTTTTTGGAAAGGTTACGGCAAACTATAGTACAAAGAGAGGGTTGTAATGAAACACTGATACATTTTAATCAAGTCACGAAAAGTTCAAGAATCGGCAACAGGCCATGGGCCTATTTCTTCAACGCCGACACTTCTATTCTATTCTATTCTATTCTATTATTCTAAGGCCGTTTAGATAGTTTAAAGGTAACAATGTGTCGTTGGATGCTGTTAATGGGTTGATGGATTCTTTCATAAGGTTCAGTGAGTGCATTTAGATGGTTCGTTAAATGCATTTGGTTGATTTTTATATGCATTTGGCGTGCATTCCGGATGTATTTTGACGGCTTATTGAATGCATTTAGCTCGTTGAATTAGAGGATGCAAGTGACATGGTGGATGTTATTAGGAAGTTCGTTGAATAAATCGAAATGTTTAGTTGTAGGTATGTTGAATACATATTCGTAAACTGCCTATGGTTCGGAAGTTCTATGCATTTCAATGGTTGAATGATTCGGTAGGTGCATTTAAATGGATTGTTTCATTCACTTGGATGGGCAATTGTAAATTTTTATTTGGTTTGCAGAACGAATTTTAATGGTTTGTGGGATTATTAATTTTTTCGACTATTCGGCTGCTTTTTTGGACCATGTGAATGGTTAGTCATGTGCAATTTATTGCTTTGTGAGACACAATTTGTTCACATTTTCATCTGGAGGGTTGATAACAATTTCATATGGAGGAGGGTCGATGCATCTGGAGGGTTGATTATAAAGGAGTTTTGCAGGCTGATGGTTGCTTCAACAAGATTCGCTTGTTGCATCCTTTTATTTTGTTAGAAACATTGTTTGCTTCTTTGCTTTTATAATTTTTGGTATGTTCCGATGGTTGGTTGGATGCATTTGGATGGTTGGATGCATTTGCCTATTAAAAGGATTTAGGAGTTAATATCGACAATGAGTTGAAATTTTCTAAGCATATTGAAGGTCAAGTTAATAAAGCCAATTTTCACGTGCGCCATCACCGGCCGCTGCATAGACGATACGATGGCGAAAACGACGCGATGGCGCAAACGACTATTTTGCTACAATCACGCGATAAAAATAAAATAATAGGATTTTACCCTTACCGCTACTCACTCGGCTTGCAGGATTTCTAATTAGTTATAACGACTTTGACGGCTTCTTTGATTTATCGCAGGCTGCACCGGAGACCACTTCGTGTGCGGCGACGGCAGATGCATCCACAAGCGCTGGGAATGCGACATCTGGAACAACAACTGCGGGGACTGGAGTGATGAGAAGCATTGTGAGTACACGGATGATGTATTGAGTCTGTAGGTGTGTGTGTGATCACATCATGAGTTGGCGTGGGTATTAAATTAATATGATGCCTAAGTGTGTGTGATGATCTTGCGTGCCAAGGTTCAAATAAAATTAGCTTCAATAAACAGTTATATTAATTAATGCTGACAAAGTCGCACAAAAAATAAATATTAGATTAAAGTAAACAAGTCACTCATATTGCGTCACTTGTTAAGTCATAGGTCTGAAAATTCTTTAGCGCATGACTTGTGATTGCAGGCGTGTGCCGCTCTGATCAGTTCAAGTGCGCCGACACCGGCCACTGCTTACTCGAGATATTTCGGTGCAACGGACACAATGACTGTGGCGACGGCAGCGACGAGCGCGACTGTGAGTTGCCTGATGAGTCAAACGCTTCCGCGCAATTCTACTGTCTTTTATTTCGAGTTAATATGATGATCTGTTTATGCTCTTAACATTCAATTATTTCCTTGATTATATATTAATTATTCCTTGAATTCATTCAATTATAATGTTTCACTATCGAATTATTTTCAATACTTCGCAAGCATGCTATTACTAAAGTCAAGTTGTCGTTTTCTTTTCTTTTTCCCCATGAAGTTTCGGGCCCTCAACACAAATTGCATATCGAAACTTTTCCCCCACATCTGATGCGATATTATGAACAACACATTCATCACATTCTTATGTGGGGAGTGAAGTATGTGTGCCACCTTAATCTCCATTTATATGGAGATTAAGGAGGCCTTCTGAGGAGGAGTCACTGTGCAATTTTTATGAAGCCTTTTTACTAAAAAAATTATGAATTTTATATTATATGAATGTGATTTTTAGCTAAAATAACTGAATAGGATAAACACAAAAATATTGACACACTGATTTAAAAATCACGGCTGCTTGCCTGGCTCGAATGTTTCCCACTTAGTTAGCCGACATTCACGGCTACTTTGATTTATCACAGGCTGCACCGGGGAACACTTCGTGTGCGACAGCGGCAGCTGCATCCAGAATCGTTGGGAATGCGACGGCGAAAACAACTGCTGGGACTGGAGTGATGAAAATCATTGTGAGTACACGGCTAATGTAATGAGTCAGTCAGTGCGTGTGTCATCACATCACAAGTCGCCGTAGTTATCAAATTTATGTAATGGGTAAGTGGGCAATCAGATTCCTATCACGAGTCAGTGGGAAAATTCCTTCCAAATACTCACATTGCTGTTGTGACTCACATTACGAGCTAGTCGCCCTTACTCACTCATTCCCATATAGTGAGTAATTAAGGGCAAGTTCAAGTTTCATTTAATAAGTTCAAATATTGTTCAAATCACCAAGTAGCGCTTGTAGTTTAATCACAGTCTGCGCTAACGCGGGATTGGGAACCCGCAAATGTGCTGTGCACATTTGCGGGTTCTTATTCTTATCTTATAAGAATAAGATAAGTTCTTATTCTTATCTTATCATATCTTATACAATAAGAACATCTTATAAGATGTTCTTATTGTTTTTTCTCGTGAGGCGTTTTTTTGCATAACTTGTAGCATCAAACTTTTGTTTTGTAGGTAATATCTAACCGGATTTTTGATCGGCATTTAGTTCATAAGTTACCTTATCATACCAAGCCTTAATTTAATTATAGGAGGAATGTCACTATATTGCCTGAAAAGCGAATTCACTAGGAATTTAAAAACAAAGAAAACTCCAAAAAGGTAAACATATCTCTATTGAAAATATTTTGTAGTCCAGCTCCATTGTCAGTTCGAAAAAATCTAGAAACACAAATACAATCAGAAGGTAATAGAGTTGGGATTCAAAAGAAAAAAAATACAGAAGTTAAAAACCTAATTTTATAGGCAAAAGGTGGAGTAATAAAGTAAATACCTATCAATTAACAAGTTCTAGTAGATAAGAACTAAAGCCTGCGTTTAAACTAGGACTCTCTTCAAAAATATTCAAGGATTCCAAAATACTGAGATCGGATGCAACAGAACTAGAAGCTAAAACCTTAAAGTCAGTGTCAGACACTGGAACGTTGCATTGTTCGGCTTGAGTGCGCACAGCCGAATAAGGGGTGGGCAATTGTTTCTGTTCCGAACCTCTTATTCCCAGCCGATTAAGGGGTGGGCGAGTCTCCGTTCAGCCGTGGTCGAGAGAGGACGCTCATGCTCGTGGTCCCAAATTTCTTAATTTTTAACTTTTTACTGTGCCGTTTTTTGACCTTTTTTCGCATTTTTTATGATCCGTGTCAGAGAATAACTGAATTTCAGTGAAGTCAGTAAAGCGAATGAACTTCAGAAGCGAGAGTGCGAATAGAATGAAGAAGCCTATAGTGAAAGTGTTTTCATTTTAAATAACGCGGACTTATAGAGTCAGTGGGGTTGCTGCGAGGGTAACGCGTAACTCCTGGCCCACGCGGGACAATACAGCCTTTGTGTTCGTGCCTACCTCTTCCTAGCCTAGCTCTTCCCATGAACACCTAAGCCGCTGAGATCGCCGCTCTCTGAAAGCCGCTATCTCTCAAGTCTGTAACAATTTGTAACAATCAAACAATTTGTACAATTTTTACTCAACTTGATTTTCGGTTTTAACTTGTGTTTATCTAGCTCTTGCATTTCAAGATGTCTGCTCAGAGAGGAAAAAGATTAATTCAGAAGGCCTCCGCAGTCCTGTTAAACCGAAAGCGAAGATCAAATCGCAAAGTGAGTGAGAGGAAATTTGTAAATTTTGCAGGCTGGTTTCGATTAACGTCAATGACGGTACAGTGGCCTGTGATCGTTGTGGGGATATCATCTGCAACAATTGTGCAAAGTTGAGCAAGATACACTGCTCGGTTATTCGCAGAAACAAGACAGGACACTGGTATTGCCAGGACTGCTAACAACCTGCACTTAGCGCTGTAAAAAGCGAAAAAAATGGTGGAAGAGAAGTGTTCTTCTATGTTTTCTGTCTTTAAGGCCGAAATGGAGGAAACCATCAAACAGGAGTTGAGAAAGAGAGCCGAAATGGAAGAGAATCACAAGAAAGAATTGAGCTTGTTGCGTAGCAAATTACGCTCGTTACGAAACGAGGTTGTGGAAATGAAAGATCATCTGCAGAAAATAGCGATAACACATAAGGTAAAGGCCGCAAAGATGTCATCTTTGATCTCGCCAACGAGAGCACTCGTGAACTGCTGGATAGAGAGAGAAGAAGACTTAATATTGTTTGGTTTAAGGGGACCGACTACCCTCCGGAAAAACTTCTACAGTTATTATCCGATCATCATTAAACTTCAAATACGTACGTAAAATTAAAAAAAAAATAACATTTTGCTTCTATGAATTTTTCAAAAAAATTTATAGAAAACGAGAAATTCATAGAAAACGGCTAAAAAGGGGTACTTTGGAAAATCTATCTCCTCCTACAAATATCATCCTACAACATCGAGACACGTATCATTCGGTTTATAAAGACCATCCCTATCGATTTGAAGAGCGCTTTTCTTATTTTCCCCTTATTTTTTTTATGCGCGTTTTTCCCATTTTTCTCATTTTTCCACCCTCCCCCCCCTCATCATTGAATACGCATTAATGAGGCAGACCAACTCCTTTGTGACCACCATTAAATGAATACCCACATTAGAAGTTTTTCAATTAGGATATGAAAATTCTTTACCTCATTACTTGTGATTGCAGGCGTGTGTCGCTCTGATCAGTTCAAGTGCGCCAACACCGGCCGCTGCATAGACGGGGCGTTGCGGTGCGATGGAGACAACGACTGCGGCGACGACAGCGACGAGCGCGACTGTGAGTTGCCTGATGAGTCAAACGCTTCCGCACAATTCTACTGTCTTTTATTTCGAGTTAATATGAGTATCTGCTTCTGCTCTTAATATACAATTATTTTCTTTTATATAACTGAAATATTCCTCGACTGCATTCAATTATAACGCTTCACTATACAGTAGAATTACATTCAATGTTTCGCAAGCATGCCATGTCTAAAGTCGAGTTTAACTTCTTATGGAGCCTATATTTTCCTTACACAGGAAGTTTTGGCCCCGTTGAACCACTGCATATTGAGACTTTTCCACCACCCCTGATGCGATGTTATAAACAACGCATACATCACATTTTTACCCCTTATACATTGTTCATGGCCTCGCGTTCAGGAAACCCGATCGCCTTACCTTATGACCTTATCATGAGTTCGGGACTTCCTAGTCCCTGGTCACGCTGATGCGCCGCCTTCGCCGTCCTCCATCTCCGAGTCGTCGCTGGGCAGGTCCCCCCGCCCTCGGGTCCCGGATGCAACGTTGGACGTGGACACCTTACTTAAAATTAGTTAGTTATATTAATTAGTTAGCCCGACATTCACGGCTCCTTTAATTTATCGCAGGCTGCACCGGCGACCACTTCGTTTGCGGCAGCGGCACATGCATCCACAAGCGTTGGGAATGCGACGGCTGGGTCAACAACTGCGGAGACTGGAGTGATGAGAGGCATTGTGAGTACACGGCTGATGTAATGAGTCAGTAAGTGTGCGTATCATCACCGCACGAATTTGCGAAGTTATTAAATTAATATGATGGCTAATTGTATGTAATGATCTTGCGAGACGAGGTTCAAATAAATTAGCTTTAAGAAACAATTATATTAATTCATGCTGACGGAGTCGCACAAACATATGAATATTAGTTTAAAGTTAACAAGTTTATCGAGTCACTTGTTAAGGCATGGAGGTCACTTAATGCGTCACTAGTTTCGTTACGTGGGTCACTTATTGCGTCACTATACATAATTGAGTTACTTATTTTGTCACTGGTTACGAACAATTACTGCGTGACAACAAAAAAATGAATACACACATTAGAATTTTTTCAATTAGGGTCTGAAAATTCTTTACCTTATTACTTGTGATTGCAGGCGTGTGCCGCTCTGATCAGTTCAAGTGCGCCAACACCGGCCTCTGCATAGACGGGGCGTTGCGGTGCGATGGAGACAACGACTGTGGCGACGACAGCGACGAGCGCGACTGTGAGTTGCCTGATGAGTCGAGCGCTTCCACTCGATTCTACTGTCTTTTATATCGAGTTAATATGAGGACTTAATTCTGCTCTCATTATTGAATTATATACTTGAATATAAATGAATTATTCCTCGCCCTTATTCCAACCATAACGTTTCCATAACGAATTATTTTCAATGCTTCGCCGCAGGCATGCTATGACTAAATCCGTGCTGTCGAGTTCAACCTCTTCTGGTGCCTAGATCATCCTTGCACAGGAAGTTTTATCCCAGCTGAGCATATGGCATTTTCGGGCCACATTCTTAGTGATTTTTCGTAAGGGACTTGGCAGACGTTTCCTCCACCTCGGATACATGTATTATGAACAACACATACTTCACATTCTTACTTCTCCACCTTCTTATTTTATGCCTCGCGTTCAGGAGACCCGATCACATTGCATGTAGCGTATATGTGAAGAAGGAGGAGGTGTTCTGTGAGGGGAAGTGTACACGGAGTGGTTAAATGACTTCCATTCGACTAATCTAAATAAAATTAAATTAAGAATTTTCTTAAATTGAATTTAGTCTGACACTATTTTGCTAAAATCATACGATAAAGAAATAAATAAAATAATAGGATTTTACCCTAACCGCTACTCACTCGGCTGGCAGGATTTCTAATTAGTTAGAACGACTTTGACGTCTTCTTTGATTTATCGCAGGCTGCACCGGAGACCACTTCGTGTGCGGCGACGGCAGATGCATCCACAAGCGCTGGGAATGCGACGGCAGGGACAAGTGCGGGGACTGGAGTGATGAGAAGCATTGTGAGTACACGACTGATGTAATGAGTCAGTAAGTGTGTGTGTCATCACATCATGAGTCGGCGTAGTTATCGAATTCATTTATTGGGTAAGTGGGCTATCAGATTCCAATCACGAGTCACTGAGAGAATCCTTTCCAAAAATTCACAATACTGTTTTGACTTACAACCTGTGTTCGCCTGCATACCATGTTTCTATGATCAGGAAGTTTGAATTCAATTTTCATTTAATAAATTCAAATAATGTACATATAATTAGTCGGATTTTGCTGTTAAAATTTATTATAATCAGCGTTAATGTAAAGTTAGGAACCGGTACGTGTAATGAGCGAGTTGATGGTGCAAGGTGCATTTCTTTATCGTTTGGCGTTTGCTGGCACAGCTTGTGGCGTGGAACCTTTATTTTTTACTCAATAATTTTATTACTCAAATACCCTACCGTGCCACTAGTTGGTCTGGAATTACATTGCAAATAACGAGCATTACAATGCTCTGACCGTTGCTTTCTCGGCATAATTGGTTGTCCCTTCGTAACAACATTATTATTTGCGGTAATCCATACGGAACTGCACTGTATTCTACTGGTAATCCCTTTCCCCACTCTCCTCATTCAATAAAATCTTATTAAAATTAAGCACTCAATCAGGGAGGAACTCATATGCTGCCCGCTTAATAACCAAAAACGCTGATAACCGATATGGGCTCCCCAAAGTCTTCATCTTTTCTTCGATATAAATCAATTGTATTGAGGGAATTAATCAAAGTAATGACATCATTGTATACATATTATTGGAGCAGAACAATTATTTCGTGATCACAGAAGACTGAATGCACACATTAGAATTTTTTAATTAGGATCTGAAAATTCTTAACCGCACTATTTGTGATTGCAGGCGCGTGCCGCTCTGATCAGTTCACGTGCGCCATCACCGGCCGCTGCATAGACGATACGATGGCGAAAACGACGCGATGGCGCAAACGACTATTTTGCTACAATCACGCGATAAATAAAAAATAATGGGATTTTACCCTTACCGAAACTCACTCGGCTTGCAGGATTTCTAATTAGTTAGCATGACTTTGACGGCTTCTTTGGTTTATCGCAGGTTGCACCGGCGACCATTTCATGTGCAGCAACGGCAGATGCATCCAGAAGCGTTGGGAATGCGACGGCTGGGACAACTGCGGGGACAAGAGTGATGAGAAGCATTGTGAGTACACGGCTGATGTGAAGATTCAGTGAGTGTGTGTGTCATCACATCATGAATCGGCGCAGTTATCAGATTCATGTATTGGAGAAGTGGGCTATCAGATTCCAATCACGAGTCACTGAGAGAATCCTTTCCAAAAAGTCACATTACTTTTTTGACTTGCAATCCGAGTTAGTTTGCATACCATGTCTCTAAGTGTGAATTCAATTTTCATTTAATAAATTTAAATAATACTCACATCATTAGTTGGGTTTTGCCGTTAAAATTTATCATAATGAGCGTCATTGTAGAGTTGGAAACTGGCAGGTGTAATTTGCGAGTTCAACGTGCACCAGTTGAACTTTGGTGCAATGGCCTTCTTGTGACCGACGAGGGGGAGGAGTTCCTTCTACCGACGTCTCAGCTAACCGTTGCGGAATCCCTTCCTGTCCCATCCCACTGCGCAGGATTTTCTCCACCGGAGCGGTCTCTCCCGGCCAACCTGCTCCGGATCCTTCTTGTAATGGCCGGAATAAATCCCAACCCCGGGCCACGAATCTGGATATGCGCAGTTTGTAACAATACCATAAACAAAGCCCAATATTTCATACGCTGCCGGACTTGCTACAACAAGTGGTACCACATGGTCGCCAGCTCAACGCAAATTAACAACTACTTCCTCTGCAACAACTGCCCAAGGCCTCTTCCTCCCCCTCCCCCATCCGCCGACCGGGCTCCCAAGGCCCGCTCGTCCGCTCCGGCACCCATAGCTCAACGAGCCAATCCGCCAACGCATCCCAACTCACCATTAACCGGGACCTTGAGGTTTCTCCAATTTTACCGTAACGGGTTACAGAACAAAGCTGACGAAATCGAACTCTGTGGCCACACAAAACATTCAAGTAGCAGCTATCCAAGAAACAAAACTGTCTTCCCTGCCCAAAGATTAGAAATTTACCAACTTTGACGTCTACCGTAAAGATTGGAGAAGGAGGCCTGATGATGCTGATCCATAACAGTATCTCTTTCCCAATTAAGCCACTACCAGACCATAACACAATCGAACAACAGGCGATAACCATCAAGGCCAATAACACCGATCTTAACATCATTAACATCTGCATCCCACCCCAATCCTCCTGCAAACCGAACTTCAAAGTTCTCCCATCTCTTAGTGCAACTCGCGCATACAGGACACGCGCGGCACTCCCATCTCTCTGACACTCGCGCATACAGGACACGCGCGGAGAAGAACTGGCAAATGAGATCGGCCATTCCGACCACGGAACGCTGAACATGGACACACCAACCCGGCTTCCAACCACAGGACAACCCTACTCGCCAGACCTCTCAATCGCCTCAGACACCCTGATCACCCACATGGACTGGGACACCATGACCACCCTATCATCCGACCACCTGCCAATCATTACACTGCAAGCAGACTATCAGACCACCAATAATCCGAAAATCACCTTCACGAACTTCACCGAAGCCGATTGGAAAAAGTACTCTGCCGACACTGAGGCCGCCTTCGAGAACTCCGTCTCCCCCACCAATTGTCAACAGCCGAACCAAATTTCGTAAAATTATTATCAGATGAAGCAACCACAATATTCCTTTAGACCGCCACATTTGTTCTAAGCCAGGCCTCTCTAAAGACATCATCAACCTCACCCGACAGTGAGATAACCTCCGTGCTGTCGACCCCACCTCCGACGACGTATCAGCCCTTACTGCCCGTATCCACCAACTCAACAACGACATCAAAAAAAGTCCGATGGAAGCAATACCTCTCTGCCTTTAACCGCCATACCAACGTTAAGCGCCTCTGGTCAACAATAAAGGCGCTTGCAAGCCAACCGAAAAACTACCCCAATAACGCCAACAACTTCAATTCGAGACCCATCAATAACACCAACAAGCACGCTGATCGCTTCAACAATCTCTTCACTAAAGTCACTGTCCAATAAACTCAATAGAATAACAACCCGGAAGTCAAAGAACCTCAACCATTCGGACAGTCCCTCTCTCTCAACGGCACAAGTTGCCAATGCAATCATACAATCCCGTCCTTCTAAAGCCACTGGGCCAGACAAACTCACCATCTTTCACCTCAAATATCTTGGACCACTCGAAAATACCTACCTGACCCAACTCTTCAATGCGTCCCTCCGAACATGACGAATACTCGACGTCTACAAATCCATCAAAGTCATACCGCTGCTCAAACCTGGCAAACTGGACAATGACGCCGAATCCTATCGATCAATCTCCCTGCTTTGCCTCGCCATCAGAGTCTTGGAACGATGCTTGCTACCCATTATCACCCAACACCTGCCCCTGGCCGATCATCAACATGGATTCAGGCCCGAACATTCGACCACGACTGCGCTCACCCTTCTCACTACGGACATCATCTACGGTCTGAACCAAAAGAGGCCAACCCACCGAACCATTATCGCCGCTCTGGACCTCACCAAAACCTTTGACACCGTCAACCACCGGACTCTGATTGACGACCTTGTCTCCTCCCCACTACCCAGATCTATCACCCGCTGGATCTCCAACTACCTACACGGCCGTTCTGCCTCAACGGAATTCCGCCAACAAAACTAAACACCAAATAATCCACATAGGCGTTCCACAGGACTCCGTTCTGTCACCTGCCCTCTTCAATTACTATGTCTCCAAGGCACCCCAACCACCACCCAACATCAAAATCTACTCCAATGCCGACGATTTCATAATCAACAGCACTGGTCCCGACGCCGACCTTCTTACCCAGCAACTCAACGATACCTTCCTCAACTTCACCACTTCACTCTCCGCAACCTGGAAATCTCTACTACCAAATCAACAGTCACCCTCATTAGACCGCACACGGCCCAATACAACTACCACCCTGAAGTCAAGATCAACAATCAACTCCTCCCGCTAGAACACAACCCAAAAATCCTTAGTTTATCTGCAGAGCCACCTCCCACACAATGCCTGCCACCAAATCACAAGACCGCACACCTAACCCCGCAACATGAGAGATACTCCTTCCCAAATAAAAATTAAGGGTGGAGCACCGATGATTATAGGTGGCGATAGTAGATTATAGGTGGCGTAACGGTGGGTGGCCAGATCTGCCAAAAATCGACAGTAAAACATCAATAAATCGAAAGGGTGGCGAGTACAGGTGGGAGTCATCGATGAATCATCGATGATTTATAGGGTCTAAAACATCTATGGCTCATTGCAGACAAATCTCTTGCGAGCCACAGATAACCGTTTGCCCAAACTGCACAGTGCATGAAGGTATTTGCCACTGTAATTTATCCAACGTAGAAAGGTGTTTTTGGGTTGCAGGTCATTCGAGTTAAGACGAAACCAAGACTTGTGCTTGGCGTTCTGACATTCGTTCGGCGTTCTGAGACGAAACGTTCTGCGTGCTTAGCATTTAAGATTAAGTTCTGTTAAGAAGATTTAGTGTGAATTCAGTAGGTACGAGCAAAACTGACAGATAGAAGCAAGGTGTTCACAAATTTTCCAAACCAAAGTGAAGCCACTGGGCATGTATCAGACTGCTTCTGATATAAATTGTCCGCAGAACAATAGAAAATTTTTGTTGCAAAAAATTGTTTCTCAAAAGATGACAGCGAATCCAATTTTTTATGTTCACACGAGATATTGAGTAAATTTATTACGAATTTTGCGTATACGCCAACTGGCTGTTTTGGAAATATTGCGATCAATTCAGACTAATTATTGTATCATTAGGTATAAATTGTATGGATCGATTAAGTGTGTTATATAATATTGACAATATTCTCAAATCGCCTCATTTATCTAAACTCTAAAGCCACGTCGACGTAGTCTGTAGAGGTAAGGCATCTCTAGAGCAGAGCGGCTCGGCGGCTCCCAAGCACAGCAGTCGAGTAAGCACACGTTCACACGAGTTGGGTTTACGGGAGTCGGCCTTGAGCTTCCTAGTAATCTTAACTATGACCTGCTTCCTACTAATCTTTACCATGTCCTGCTTAAAATTTGTGCTTTCCGAGTTTCCGGGTTATTTGCTCGTCAAAAAAGTATAATTTTTACGCAGAGGGATACGAATAAAAATTCGTCTGTCTATCGCTTACTTTGATAGTGGAATTTAATTATTTAGAGAAATTTGCTTATACAGTCCGATAATTATTTCGATTTTAAGTCTAAATTTATACTAGAGTGGTCCTGGTATCTTTTGGACGCAAAATATTAAAGATTATGCAAGAGAATAATAGTGACATGAAGTGGAGCAGGTAATTCCACGCCTGAAATTTCAAAATAATCGAGTGATATCAATTCTTTATTTCACGCAAGAATATTCTTGATAAAAATGTTTCGAATTAAACCGCTGTCAAAATTGGTGTAATGTTCACATTATGAAACTTCGATGCTTATTAAGCATTTTTCCGTAGCCTTTACTCTGAGATGAACCATCGTTCGTTACGAATAAACGGAGTTTGTTTCAGTGGCTGTTTATTTGAATGTAGCAGCATGTTCAAATAAAATTGTAGATGGAACCATCTAATCATCACGGTGGTAGCACTAACTTCTGTCATTCGATGAAATTAATATTTGCAATACTTCAGTCAAATATTTAAAAATTACTCTAGAGCCTAGTCCTCTCCTATAGCTCAACGGTAGATCTGCTTCGCGTGTGGGAGACCGGAGTTCGAATCCTGCAGGCAAGGAGTTTCTTCAACTCGATTTCTCACGAGGTATGCGTATGGTACTCTGAAAATTTGTTCCCGCTACATGTCTGACATTGTTACTTGTACTATCGTGGTAGATCTATGTACGCAGCCCCTACAATGCTGATTGTTTGGAACTATGTCAGTAAATACATAAGCATCGGATTAGAAACTAAATTAAAATTTTTTTAAGACTTAATTTTAAAAAGTGGCCATCGGTGGCTCGTCAATGTACCACTGGTGCCAATGGGTAGTTATTTGCGGAAGAAGAGCTTTACGGGTAGGGGGGCCATAGGCAGGTTATAGGTGTGGTAAAGGTGGTGCACGCCACCCTTAATTCACTGTATAAATCATAGCTGCTCCACCTGTGGCGTCCGCCTATAGTCATCTTAAAAACATAGGTGCTCCACTCATAATTTTTATTTGGGTTTCACCAAATACGTCAATGCTGTTCAACCTTTACTCCAAATCAATATTGACAGTGCTTCCCATAGAGCAGCTAGTAGCACTCCACTCCAACGCTGCTCGAGCTGGCCTCCTCCACTCCCAGCTATAGATAAATCTGAACAAACACTCCAAAGATCCGCAAGACGAACGCTGGCTCAACTTCGCTCCGGCTACTGTATACTCCTTAACAGCTAAAAAAGCAGAATCTACAATAACACCAATGACCTGTGCAACTACTGTCATCTCTCCCCGCATGACGTGCCCCACCTTTTCGACTGCCCTAACAATCCAACACCAATTAGCACCATAGACCTTTGGAGGGACCCAGCTGCGGTAGAGCGCTGGCTCCTGCCACGGCTGGCACAGTGACGCTGGGATCGGACGCGGGGCAACAACAACAACATTTGCGAGTTGAGGGTGTAAGGATTTTTTTTCTCGTGAGGCGTTTGTTGGCACAACTTGTGACATGGAACATTTATTTTTCACGCAATAACTCAACAGAAATCAACATTGCTACTCAATTTATAAGCTAAATAATCATACCTTACCGTGCAACTAGTTAGTCGGACATGAAATTGCAAATAACGGGTATTACATTACTCTGACATTTGTTTTTTTTCGGCATAACTGGTTATGCCTTCATAACAGCATTATTATTTTTGGTTATCCGTACGCAACACTACATTCCCCTGGTAATATCTACCCCCACTCCACTCATTCAATAAAATATTATTAAAACTAAACACTCATTCAGGGATGAACTCTCATGCAACGCGCCTAATAACCCAAACGTTAATAACCGAAGGAGACATCTCAAATCTACATCCTTTCATCGATATATTCATTGAAAAAATTAATTAGAGTAATAACATCACTGAATACTCAGGAGAACAATTATTTCGAGTCCACGAAAAACTGAATACACACATCAGAATTCCTAATCTGATTTAGGATTTTTAGATTAGGATCTGAAAATTCTATACCGCATTTCTGGTAATTGCAGGCGCGTGCCGCTCTGGTCAGTTCAAGTGCACCAACACCGGCCGGTGCATAGACGAGTGGTATCGGTGCAACGGACGCAACGACTGTGGCGATGACAGCGACGAGCGCGATTGTGAGTTGCCTGATGAATCGAGCTGTTCAGCGCAATTCATCTGTCTTTTAGTTCGAGTTGATATGAGAATCTGCTTATGCTTTTAGTATTCAATCATTTTCAAATATATACGTGAATTAAAACCCGACTGCATCCAGTTATAACGCTTCGCAAAAATTCTATGAGTAAAATCGAGTTATCGTTTTTAACCTCTTCTGGGGCCTAAATTTCCTTTTCGCAGGGAGTTTTGGGCCCGCTGAACTCATTGCACATTGAGATTCTTCCGCCACCTCTGACGTAATGTTATAAACAACACATATATCATATTCTCACCTCTACACATTCTTTTTCAACTTGCGTTTATGAAACATGACCCCTCTGTTAAAAATATTTATGTGGAGATTATAAGCTGGTCTTCTGAGAAGCAGGGTTCATTGAGAAGTTTTTATGACCTCATTTAAAAAAATAAAATTTATGAATTTCATGAAATCGAATTAGTCTGACAATGTGCTAAAATTACAGAATAAAGACAACAGAAAAATACGCAAGGATTGAAAAATCACTGCAGCTTGTCCGCCTTAAAAGTTTTCCTAATAGTTAGCCAGACATTTACGGCTTCTCTGATTGATCGCAGGCTGCACCGGAGACCACTTCGTGTGCGGCGACGGCAGATGCATCCACAAGCGTTGGGAATGCGACGGCAGGAACAAGTGCGGGGACTGGAGTGATGAGAAGCATTGTGAGTACACATTGTGAGTCTGTGTCATCACATCATGTGTCGGCATAGTTATCAAATACATGTAATGGGTATGGGGGCTCTCAGATTCCTATCACGAGTCACAGGGAGAATCCTACCCAAAAACTCATCTTGCTGTTTCAACTTGCAGTCTGAGTTTGTCTGCACACCATGTTTCAAAAATGAGTAAGTGCTAGGTCAATTTTCATTTAGTACATTTTAATAATGTTCATATCATTAGTTTGGTTTTCCCGTTAAAATTGATTATTGTCAGCGATAATGTGAAATTGAAAACCGGCCAGTGCTATGTACGAGAAAGAGCGTGAGGTGTTTTTCTTACTCGTGGGGCGTTTGTTGGCACAACTTGTGGCGTGAAATCTTAATTTTTTACTCAAAAATACAACAAAGATCTTTATTGATAATCAATTTATAAGCTACATAATTATGGCATACCGTGCAACTACTTTGTCTGGCATTACAGTGTAAATAACGGTCATTACAACGCTCTGACCGTTGCCTCCACGACATAATTGGTTATCTCTTTGTAACAACATTAGTACTTGTATTCTCGGTAATCCATACATGACTGCACTAAATTCCCCTTTGTAATCCCTTTCCCCTCCCCCCTTATTCAATAAAATCTTTTTAAAATGTAACACTCATTCAGGTAAGAGCTCACCTGCAACTCACCCCAAAGATACCCCAAAGTCTTCATCCTTCCATCGATATAAATTAATTTTTTAGGAAAATCAATTGATGTAATAACATAAATAGTACACATTATTGAATCAGAATAATTACTTCGTGACCCCCAGAGACTGGATACACACATTAGAATTTTTTAATTAGGATATGAAAATTCTTTACCGCATTACTTCCGATTGCAGGCGTGTGCCGCTCTGACCAGTTCAAGTGCGACAACAACGGCCGCTGCATAGACGGGGCGTTGCGGTGCGATGGAGACAACAACTGTTGGGACGAAGAAGACAGGGACGAGCGCAACTGTAAGTTGCTGGATGAGTCGAGAACCTCGGCGCAATTCTACTGTCTTCTAGTTCAAGTTGATATGAGAATCTGCTTATACTCTTAATATTCAATTATTTTATTGAACATAAATGAATTATTCCTCGAGCGCATCCAGTTATAACGCTTCACTACGGAATTACTTTCACTGTTTTGCAAGCATGCTGTGACTAGAGTCGAGTTTTCGCGTTTAAGTGGACCATATACGTCGAAAATCGAAAAAAATTCGGTTTTTCGGGCTCATTTGAAGCTGCAGAAAAGGCGCATCAAACGCAGCAAGCCGCATGTAGGCGTGTGCTCTAGTTTTTGCGGGAAGCAGATTGAAAGTTATATAAAATTATTATTTTTTAACTACAGAACTGTAACTGTACAGAAATTTATTCAGAGAAGATTGAATTTATAGATTATTTCTTGCGTTAATTAAGTTGGATTTAATCTCTTTTTGTTGCCGCAAGAAAAGGCGCGTATTAGGGCACATATTGGAAGCACGGAGGGAACATGGTGGGTACACGGAAGGAACATGGAGGGAACACGGAGGGAACATGGTGGGTACACGGAAGGAACATGGAGGGAACACGGAGGGAACACGGAGGAAGAATGGAGGGAACACGGAGGGAACATGGAAGAAACATGGAGGGAATATGAAGGGACATAGAGGGACATGGAGGGGACATGGAGGGAACATGGAGGGAACACGGAGGGAACATGGAGGGAACATGGAGGGAACATGGAGGGAACATCTAGGGAACATAAAGGGACATAGAGGGACATGGAGGGAACATGGAGGGAACATGGAGGGAACACGGAGGGAACATGGAGGGAACGCGGAGGGAACATGGAGGGATCATAAAGGGACATAGAGGGACATGGAGGGGACATGGAGGTAACATGGGGGGGACATGGAGGGAACATGGAGGGAACACGGAGGGAACATGGAGGATACACGGAGGGAACATGGAAGGAACACGGAGGGAATACTGAGGGAACATGGAGGGAACTCGGTGGGAACACGGAGGGAACATGGAGGAAACATGGAGGGAACACGGAAGGAACATGGAGGAAACATGGAGGGAACATAATGTGACATACAGGGACATGGAGGGGACATGGAGGGAACACGGAGGGAACACGGAGGGAACATGGAGGGAACAGGGAGGGAACACGGAGGGAACATGGAGGAAACATGGAGGGAACACGGAGGGAACATGGAGGGAACATAAAGGGTCATAGAGGGACATGGAGGGGACATGGAGAGGACATGGAGGGAACACGGAGGGTACACGGAGGGAGCACGGAGGGAACATGGAGGGAACACGGAGGGAACATGGAGGGAACATAAAGGGACATAGAGGGACATGGAGGGGACATGGAGGGAACATGGTGGGAACATGGAGGGAACATGGAGGGGACATGGAAGGAACACGGAGGGAACATGGAGGGAACACGGAGGGAACATGGAGGAACATGGAGGGAACACGAAGGGAACACGGAGGGAACATGGAGGGAACACGGAGGGAACATGGAGGGAACATGGAGGGAACACGGAGGGAACANGCTTATGCTTTTAGTATTCAATCATTTTCAAATATATACGTGAATTAAAACCCGACTGCATCCAGTTATAACGCTTCGCAAAAATTCTATGAGTATAATCGAGTTATCGTTTTTAACCTCTTCTGGGGCCTAAATTTCCTTTTCGCAGGGAGTTTTGGGCCCGCTGAACTCATTGCACATTGAGATTCTTCCGCCACCTCTGACGTAATGTTATAAACAACACATATATCATATTCTCACCTCTACACATTCTTTTTCAACTTGCGTTTATGAAACATGACCCCTCTGTTAAAAATATTTATGTGGAGATTATAAGCTGGTCTTCTGAGAAGCAGGGTTCATTGAGAAGTTTTTATGACCTCATTTAAAAAAATAAAATTTATGAATTTCATGAAATCGAATTAGTCTGACAATGTGCTAAAATTAGAGAATAAAGACAACAGAAAAATACGCAAGGATTGAAAAATCACTGCAGCTTGTCCGCCTTAAAAGTTTTCCTAATAGTTAGCCCGACATTTACGGCTGCTCTGATTGATCGCAGGCTGCACCGGAGACCACTTCGTGTGCGGCGACGGCAGATGCATCCACAAGCGCTGGGAATGCGACGGCAGGAACAAGTGCGGGGACTGGAGTGATGAGAAACATTGTGAGTACACGGCTGATGTAATGAGTCAGTAAGTACGAGTGACATCACATCATGAGTCGGCGGAGTTATCAAATTCATGTAATGAGTAAGGGGGCTATCAGATTTCTATCAGGAGTCACTGGGAGAATCCTCTCTGAAAACTCGCATTACTGTTTTAACTTATAATCTGAGTTAGTCAGCATACCATGTTTCTAAAATGAGCAAGTGTGAATTCAATTTTCATTTAAAACATTTAAATAATATTCATATCATTAGTTGGATTTGGCCGATAAAATTGATCATAATCTGGGATAATGTGGAGTTGGGAACCGGCACGTGTGACATGCTAGTTGAGGGTGCAAGGTAAACGTTTCTCTTTCCCGTGAGTCGTTTGTTGGCACAACTTGTGGCGTGGAACTTTTATTTTTTACTCAATGACTTAAAAGGGAATTTTATTGATAATCAATTTACAAGCTACATAATCATACCATACTATGCAACTAGTTTGTCGGGCATGACATTGCATATAACAGGCATTACATTACTCTGACCGTTGCTTTCTTGGCAAAACTATTTAACCATTCATAAGAACATTATTATTTTCAGTAATTAGTTCGTAACCGCACTACATTCTCCTGGTAATCCCTTCCCCCATTCCCCTCACTCAATAAAATCTTATTAAGATTAAGCACTCATTTAGGGATATGCTCCTATGCAGCCATCCTAATAAGACAAACGCTAATAGCCGATATAGACGACCCAAACTCTTCATCCTTCGAGATAAATCAACTTTTTCGAGAAGTTGAATTGAATGATAAAATCAGTTAATGCTGAATAAACACATGATAATTTACGCGAAACTCACGCAAAAGGCTGAATAAACACATTATAATTTTTTAATTGGGATCTGAAAATTCTTTAACGAATTACATGTGATTGCGGGCGTGTGCCGCTCATGTGAACCACCTTGTCAGACACCTTATCATAAGAGACTGATCGTGCCGCCTTAGCAGTGGTGCAGTTTGCTTTGTAGTCCCCTGTTAACAGACGCTGTATTTCTTTGGTAATCTCTTTCCATGTTTTAATAAAATCCTCTGATAACTAATTACTGACTCTGTGATAAGTTCAGCTAAAGACCGACCAATAAACCACTGTCTTCTTACCAATTCGTCCACTTATCCAGGATTTTAATCAAGTACAATCTTATGTCACCGAAGTTTTTACGATTGCAGAAAAATCCATGGAAATAATAAAGTCTAAATTGTTTTGAAATTAGGAATTCGATTCCAAACCCATTTTCAAATTGTCATATAAACTAAGACCCAAGAACATATTTCAGGTGAACATCCAGAAGAAGCAGTATACAGGTAGGAAGATAGATCATATATCATAAAGTAGATATTAATATAGCCAAACGATTGTTTCGTAATCTAAAAAAAATCAATTTCAGTATTTACCAATTCTCAATTATCGTCTGAACATAATTTTCCAAATTACTTGTGATTGCAGGCGTGTGCCGCTCTGATCAGTTCAAGTGCGCCAACACCGGCCGCTGCATAGACGAGAAGGATCGGTGCGACGGAGACAACGACTGTGGCGACGACAGCGACGAGCGCGACTGTGAGTTGCCTGATGAGTCAAACGCTTCCGCGAAATTCTACTGTCTTTTATTTAGAGTTAATACGAGGATCTGCTTATGCTCTTAATATTCAATTAATATCTTGAATTTTAATGAATTAATCCTTGACTGCATTCAATTATAACGCTTCACTATTGAATTATTTTCAATGTTTCGCAAGCTTGCTATGACCAAAGTCGAGTTGTCGAGTTTAACCTCTTCTGGGGTCTAGAATTTCTTTCGACATGAAGTTTTGGGCCCATTGAACCCATTGCATATTGAGACTTTTTCCCTACATCTGATGCGATGCTATAAACAACACAAACATCACATTCATACCTCAACACATTCTTCCTCATATCGCATTCAGGAAACACAACAATCCTGCATAAAATATTTATGTGGCTATAAAGGAGGCATTCTGAGGGGGCGGTTCAATTTTTTGGCCCTGTCCTTACTCAACAAAAAATGAAATATATTGAATTTTCATGAACACTTTAAGTGCTGTTCGACTCACCTGTGGGTCGTTGCTGATTTCTATCTGCTGCAAAACGACCCACGTACCGGTGGGTCGTTTATAAAATAATACCGAATATTTGGAGGAGCCGAAAAATTAGTATTATTGAAATTTGCAGCAGAGTGGGGTTGATGTCATGATATAAAAGTTTGAGATAATAGAAAATGGCCTTGCTGTTTTTTCAATTACCATATAAAGCATATTTATTATTGCCAATCGCAAGGTTTTAATTTGCGAAAAATACCGGCGAATTAATTATTATAGTTTGAAGCGAAACATGACCAGCTCGTAAATGATTTTCTAGAGCATCATTCACAAAGTATTTTTACTTTTCTTCTCTGAATGGGAGATCACTTTATGTCATCCCACTCAGCGCTCTCTCGTCATATCTTTCGAGTCAGGAGTTTTGAGCAAGTAAGGGACACTTGGCTTGCCACCTGTTATTTGAGATAGTCTTCCCTCAGGCTGCAATTCTTCCATCGGATATCCATACAGGAGTAAGAGGGTTATAGATTTTATGAATTTTACAATTGTTCAATTGTGCCGCCCACTACAGTATTTGTTGAAGATTAAGAAGGCGCTGAGCACAGTTCATCCAAACAATAGTTCCAAACATAATTTTCGGTACAATATTCTAGATTTTCTCAAAGGACTGTCACTCAATTCTTAACTATCCTTCATTTCTTTCATCACTCGATTCATCACACTCTGAACGTCGGTCCCCTCTTGGTGAGAACGTGTCATCTGATGGAATAGTATCATCACGGTCAGAAAAAGATTCATCACGTTTCGTTTTCTTAGATCCACCATTAAGCTAGATTCTTCCATAATGAACGGTCTGAAAATACAAGAAAGTGAGGTGTAAAATAAAAAAAAATATTGCAAAATAAATTATCAGCAAATTGTTGCACGACCCATATGCGGGTCGTTTCGCAGTGACATGAAAAATTTCACACTCGGCTGCGAACTTATTGCGCTAACATGCAGAGCACATTGATAAACATACACCCAGCCTCCCACTTCGATATCTCGACAGGCACTGACGCTATAGCAAGCCAAAAATAGCAACACAAGCTGGCAGTCGACCATTTTCGGGCTTCGCATTTAACGTTTTAAATTGAAATAGTCGGATATTACGCTGTTGCCGACGCGTAGATGCGGGTGGAGTCTGAAGGACCTACATTATGTCTCTGGCAAACGTATGATTTCTATAATTGATTTGATGGAAAAAGAAAACAGTGATAAATTTAAAGTATACTGGATTATGGGTTGTCCGTTTACAGCTGAGAGGTTGTGTAATATCGACAGTAAAAATGAGTTGAATAAGGCAATTGAAATATTTAAAATCAGATGTAAATTTAAGTGTGAAAAAATGTGTTTTGAGGAGCATGAGAGTGATAAGCAGAAACTGCACAGAAGAAATACCAAGTCAATACACATGCTATGGCATGTGTATTGATTAAAGCATAAAATAGTATCATTAATAAATAACACGCAGACTTCAAGTTCAATTTAGTGGTGACCAAGTTAAAACATTGAGGAGAATAATTATGTTGCAAAATCTTAATTTAGTCATGCCCCCTCTTAAATAATATTCGCAATGAAATAGCAATTAACTTACCAAAAAATAGTAATGAACAAACACTCGTTAGGAATCAAAGGAATGAGAAGCAATTCATGAGAACAAATAAACTAAAATGATGCTGAAGTATTGAAGTGGTTTGGTTACCATTGAGTTCTAAAGTGCAACAGAAATACTACCGCCTGACGGCAGTATCCAATTTTGAATCATGGAACATGAATGGATTTAACACATAGCACTCTGAGATAAAATGAACACATTTGCAATAAGAGTCTCCACTATTTCATTCTAAACAATTTGCCAATAAAAAAACCTCTACCTAACAGTCACCAAAGCATTTGGTCTTCTGAGAACAAGGCAGCTTACCCGGCTCGAATGTTTTTCAATTAGTTAGCCCGATATTCACGGCATCTTTGGTACATCACAGGCTGCACCGGCGACCACTTTGTGTGCGCCAACGGCAGCTGCATCCAAAAGCGTTGGGAATGCGAGGGCTGGCGCAACAACTGCGGGGACTGGAGTGATGAGAAGCATTGTGAGTACACGGCTGATGTTGTAGTACACGAAGAAACAACATTGATTGCTGCTTGATTTCAGGTTGAAATGTTGAACAACCAAAATTAAACGTCATGTCAACGTCGAAATCTGACCAACACTAGAAGGGACGTAAAACAATCTTGTTTCAAAGTGGAAACAACGTGTCGATATCGGTACGTTGAATAATTAGCTATTTACCTGCATGGAAGTTATGTTATCACACAAACATTGAATGAAATACATGTATATAAGTGTACAATTAATGGCCAGAGAAAGCATTTCAATTTTCAAGGAGTCGAACAATTCTTTAGCATATTTCTGTTGCTCGTGCACGCGAGCTATTGTGGTCAATGTTGCTAAGGCGTCGCGCGGTCTTCAGCGATCCCGGGTTCGAATCCAGCTACGGACTAAAAACAGGTTGATTCTTCAACGTTGATTCAACCAGAGAATTTGACGTTGCAGCAATGTCGTAGTAGCAGCATTGATTCAACGTCGCGTTGTAGCGTCGGTACGACGTTTCATGAGAGACGTTGCTTCAATTTTCATTCTAAACCTCCTATTTCACCCCGATCCCAATGTCGTAATAGGTAGTTGATTCAACCACCGAATTCCTGCTGGGATGTTTTTAAAATGAGTAAGTGTGAGTTCAATTTTTATATACTAAATATAAATAGGGTTCATATCATTTGTTGGGGTTTTCTGTTAAAACTTATCATAATCAGTGCTACTGTGGAGTTGGGAACCGGCATTTGTGATGTACGAGTTGAGGGTGAAAGGTGTTTTTTCTTTCAAGTGAGGTGATTGTTGGCACAACTGGTGGCATGGAACTTTGATTTTTTACTCAATAACTTAATCGAGATCTTTATTGGTAATCAATGCACAAGCTACATAATCATACCATACTGTGCAACTAGTTTTAGGGCATTCCAGTGGAAATAATAGGCATTATATTGCAAATAACGAGCATTACAATGCTCTGACCGTTACATTCTCAGCATAACTTGTTATTCCTTCGTAACAGCATTATTATTTTCAGTAATCCATCGTAACTGCTCTACATTTCCCTGGTATTCCTTTCCCCCCCTCCTCTCATTCCATAAAATCTTTTTAAACTAAACACTCGTACAGGGAAGAGCTCATATGCAGCCTCCAAATTACCCAAACGCTAATAATCGATTAAGACCCTCCCAAAGTCTTCATACTTTCTTCGCAATAAATCAATTTTGTCAAGAAAATTAATTAATGTGATAACATCATTGAATTCACATTATTAAGGCAGAATAATTGCCTTGTGACCACAAAAGACTGAATCCAAACATTGGAATTTTTTCATTGGGATTTGAAAATTATTTCCCGAATTACTTGCGATTGAAGGCGTGTGCCGCTCTGGGCAGGTACTTTCAAACATTGCCAAGTGGACATAACTTCTTGAACTTAAGCGCAAGAAGATACGCCGAGCGTACGATCAGCGGATTTCGGCACCTTCAAAACTTTCGTACGACCGACTTAGCTAAAGGCGTACTTTCAAAACACTCCGGCTCTCAGCCAATCAGCGTGCTGGTTTTTGCTTACTTTTTGAAGTCGGATTACGCGGAGCATCAATGTCTCATGAATCGTGATTTCACAATTTTTAGCTATTATCTAGGCACTGAGACAGCGGTTTAGAAATTTGACGCCTGTAGATGTCTTGTTTTAATTTCAAAATTAATAAATTATTTTGATATTAAAAGTTTGAGTTTCCGAAGTGTAATTTGCAGCAGGAGCCCATGAGATTGTGATTGAGAGGGACAGGCTGCCTCATTGTTGAAATTAGTGTAGTAAGGCAGAAGTTCTTCATTTATACAGGTTTGGTTGAAGACCAGAGCGTACTTCTTATTAACAATTTTCTTATTGTTTTTTTTTTGATGAGCCGAACGAAATTTCTAGCTGGAGCTTGGAGATCAAAAAGCAGATTACCGAATGACATTTTATTGCAGTGCGACGTTTCGAATATATCAATATT